CAAATCCAGGTTCTCCCTGAAAAAGATGGCAACCTTTAGGATGGTTTAAAGAACAATACTGCAGCAAAAGAGAATGCAAAACGAAAGGAGAAATAAAAATTACGGCCAGCAGGTTAAGGAAATCAACTACTTTAGAATAGACACCCTACAGGATTATGATAAAATAGTGAAAAATTCTAGTAACATTTAACATTTAAAGCAATGAGAAAGACTGTGCAAAATTAAAAAAGAAGAAGAAGATAGTACATCATACAAATATAAAAAGGTACTTTAATAAACTACCTTGGGTCCTGGTAGTCCTGGAGGTCCAATCACTCCAGGCATCCCCTTTACACCCTAAAAATCACAATGAGTATAATCTGGCTTATTATTATTATTTAGCATACTGATTTCAATCTCTTTCAGAAATTACCTTGTTCAACAACCATTCTACTAATTTTTTAAGAGGTTACTCTTCAGCTTCGCTAATTAGCAACTGAGATCTAAGCTCACTTACAAACTTGACATTACTCCGGCCAGTTCTCTGTGAGATGTGTAGCATCGTGGGGCACAGTGGGGGCCGGCATTGGAGCCAGGGCAGCAGACACAAGCTGTGAATGTGGCCTTTGAGAGGAGTGTCTCATTTTGAGCAAATTAGAGAAATTGAATCCGGTAATTGAAAATCGACAACAGAATCCGCCTGTGGCATCGGTAACATCAGTACTGCAGGCTGACAGAGGACTCGATCTTTGCCAGTCGTCGATCACGTGCCCAGTTCTACGCAATGGTTACCTTATCAATTATCAAAACATCAAGCCCCTGTGTAACATATCAAGGACCATTTGTAACATATAAAGGACAATTGGACTTCCAGTGGTCTTTTCAGCCCACACACCAAAGGCAAGATTAATGGAACACTATATGCTAAAAGACATGTCACAATTTAGTAGCCCAAGCTAAGTCTGCAACTCAGCAGCTGGGTGACATAGAGGATACCGGTAACCCTTCCAAACCTCATTTTTCAACTCTGCGCAGTGGGGTTAATAATGGTGTCACCTGTTAAGGTTGCTTTGGGTTTAATGCAGTGATGCATGGGGGTGCTCAGTATTTCACTGGCAGTGCACCTGCTCAGGTGGTGCTGGCCATTACTACTTTACCAAAGTAACATATGGATTGGGAATTACCTTTTCTCCTTTATAGAGACAAAAATCAGGAGGCTGTACCAGGAGGGTGGGTCCAGGAGAACCTTGCTGGCCAACTTCGCCCTTTAAAAAAAAAAAATCAAGATAATAGGAATTTCATATTAATTTTATTTTGAAATAAAATTTGAAATAAAGATTTTCCCCTATTTATTGTGATATAATGCTTACGATCCTGTGTGTATGGGTTTAAAGTTAAAATCATGGCAAATAAATGATATAATTTTAAATATTTATTGTTTTGCATAAGCAATATATGCTTATGGTTAAAAATAAATTTTAAAAATAAAAGTGATCCATAATCCTATTAAGCTCTTCCATTGTGGTTAGATTTAAGTTATTTCTAATTTATTTTCAATAATATTTTTAAACTCTCTATAAAATAATTAGCCAAAAGTTTTCATTTATGTCACTATAGATGTTATTCTTTTGGAGAGAAAGATTTTCTTGAATTGGGCTTGCCACAATATAACCATATATTCTTACTGTTAATTAGATGATTATTTTGTACTTTTCTGAGTCATTCTCTTATTCTATACTTAGAATTATCTTCCCTCTTGTGTCACAGTTAAGAGCAACTGATAGAGCAGGTCACCTGTGTCTACAAACGAGGCCCTTACTGACTGTGTCATTTGGGGCAATTTCCTTAAAATCTATCCTATCCCTAGTTTCCTCGATTCTTTTAAATCCCATTTTACTTCTCTCTGAAATGGAGATTATAATACTGCCTACCTCAAAGTATTATTTTGTGGAATAGATAATGTACATAAAATACTTACTCTTTACTACATTGAGTGGGACAAAGAAAATTCTCAAATATATAATTATTAAAACTGCTAATGTTTTTGATAAGTGGGTTTTGGGGAAGAAGAATACTGTTTTAAGTTTAAATGAAAGAAATACAACCAATAATTTTATTCCTACCTAAACTTGAGAAACTACAGAAGAAGCAGGAAGTTAGGGACATTTTTTCTTTGATGTACCCTGGCACCTAACACAGTGTTGGCGTAGTAGCTGCTTTATAGCTTTCTGTTGTGTGAATAGACAATTGAACAAATGCATAAACAATATACAAATAAATGGGTAACATGTATTGGTAAAGATAACCATATTTATTCTCATAGCTGGAATAAGCCTAAACAAAACCTAAAAAGGCTGATAAGCAAGGAGCTTCTTCAAAATGTTAGTCATGTTACTATTTTTCCATATTGCAAAAGTATCATTTATTTATATTGGTCAAATGTACAAAAAAGTTATGCAGAATAAAATGTAAATGATCCATAATCACATCACCTAGGAAAAATCAGTAATAACCAGTTAGGGCATTGTTTCTGAAAATAGGGTGGGCCGAATGTGTTCTTGAGTATCTGAGAGTTCTGCATTGAAATTTCAAAATTAGGTTTTTATTCATTCAACAATCCAAAATAATTAAAATAAGCCTATTTTGGATCATTCAAATGGCCACCTCATAGCCAAATATTTCTACTTTGTTCTATGGCCCGAGTTCGCAACTGCCCCTGATTGTGTTGATGCTGAAGTCGCTAAGTGGGCAATGCCTGCCTCACTCCACAAAGTGGGGGGGTTCTCAAGCAGGTGTGTGTGGGCTTCTGGTGCTTTGACATATTCCCAGGGGTCCATGACTTCCCGAGTTTGGGAAACATTGTGTCAGTCTATTTTCTTTCAATCATTTCTCTAAGTTAGTTGTTCTTCAAGGTCAATTGGACACACTCTCCCCCAGGGACATCTGGTAAGGTCTTGTTGCATCTTAGGTTTGTCACAGCTTGGGGGGGAAGGGGATGATGTTACTAGCATATAGTAGGTAGAGGTCAGGGATGTTGCTAAACAGAGTATCACACAGGACAGCTCTGCACAATTGTGAAGTATCAGTGGTGTCAAGGGAGAAATAGCCTGCTCCAAGTGTATATGTTAATGTATTTTGTTGTAATTTTTACCAAATTGAGCTTATACTTTTGTAACCTGTGCTTTCTGCTCAGCATGATCGTGCAGGCATTTCCTCACATCGTGACATCTTCCAGTATATTTTTGGCAACTTGGTCCTTCTGTTAAATGGCTGTGCCATAACTTACCCAACCACACTGGGACTCCATGAGAGAAGGGATAGAGTCTGTTCTGCTAATCCCCCACAGCCAGCACCGATCCTAGTGTGGTACAGAGTAGATGCCATATGTTTTGAACTATTTGCTCACAGTTGCTGAAAGAGCCAGTCACCACCTGTTAGCCATTCAGATTGGTTCTAGATAAGCTGCCATCTTGAAACAGCTTTCTAAAGCTTGCCCTTGCTAAATTTCATGCTTCGGCCGAAAGGACCGAGAGAGGGAGATTGTGTGTTGCTATATGCTTTTCGTTCCACTTATTTATGTTTTTATTTATGTGCAGAGTTGGAGATTTTGATGAAGTTGTGAAATTAAACCAAAGAAATCAGTAATTAAACAAATTTCCTACCCCAGATATATCATCAGAAAAATTATCAGATATTCTATCCCTTCTTGTTAGGGTGAAGTGTGCCATATAAATTAACTTGAATTTAGTGTTAAATTTTTGTCAGAACTGTCATCTTAGCATTAAGGGTAATGGTGCCATAATAATTCAGCAAAGAAAAATTCTCAGCCATACAATTGGGCAGCAACTAGATAACAAATGCAGTTAAGTGATCATCAGAACACATACTCCGCGAGCCGGCAGCACATACATTTAAACATCTGCTCCTCCGTGCAAAAGCGAATTCTTACCGGGTCTCCCATTTGCCCCTTTACTCCCACACCAGGATTACCCTGGAAACAGAAAAAATAAATAAATCTAATTACTTTTGAATACTAAACAAGTAATTACAAGCAAGACTTCTGGTTAAGAAATTTGTTCAAGTTTATTTATTAAATACTTTGGGAAGTCTCATGAGAGGAAAGAAATCACTCAGACAAGTAATAGTGGTCACTTCTCTTATTGTACCTGAGCTCAATTTGTGCATTTTACTCACGGCTGCCTACCTTCAAACCCGGACTCCCACGATGGCCGGGAAGTCCCTAAACCAACAGTAGAAACAAATCACACGTCAGTCATAGAAATCACGTGTCTTCGTTGTTTGTCCCAGATGCCTCTTAGGAAACCCCTGATTTTAAAACACCCCTGATGGACTTCTGAGCATGGCGGGCTGCTTGTTATTCAGGGAGATCCATGCTCCAGATGGACTCTCACTGATAATGGCAGGTGTGCCCCGATTCGTCGGCTGATAATCTCCCAAAGAGCCCACCTGTGCCTGGCCTGAGAGGGTGATTTTGCCTTTTTTATTGTATTTAAATGTCAGGTCTGGTTTGTAGAGGGTCAGAATGAGCAGAGCTATACTTACTGCTAACCCCGGCTCTCCTGGATGCCCCACCAGGCCTATAGGTCCTCTCGAACCCCTAGGTCCCTAAGCACGAGAAAAATCAGTGCATTCGTTACAAAACAAAGAAAGAAACAAACAAAAAACATAGTCACCATTCACAGCGAGAACTGTATGTAATCCCAGGTGGATAAACCTCCAAAGAAGTCACAGTCCTGGGCACATCTGCCTATTGAAGCAGCTCTGGCATGGCCATAGGGCACAAAGTCACATGGCAACAGCACTCTGGCAAGTGTGACAAAGTCCTACATTAGGATTAAATTAAGACCCAGCGATCAATCTACTTACTTGTTTACAAATAAATCTTGTGATACAAAAGTAGAGAAAAGAGAAAATTTGTTACTAGCTACTCCTAAATCCCACCTATGTTTATAATCCCACTTCAATATACATCAGGATGCTTTAAAAATATTAATATTAACATTAATGTTAAAATATAAATATATTTATACTCTAATACATTTTTTAAACGTGCCCTATCAGATCAACATGAATAAGAATATTGTCCCCGATTCAAGATCGAGATGATTCAGTCATAAACAAATTTCTGCAACATGTAATTTTTGCAACATGAATTTACACAGAGATTCACAAGGACTGGTTACAGCTGGACATTCCTGAAAGTGTGGAGAGAGGCTCTCTGTTCTCCTGCTGGCCCCACCTAGGTCAAATGACTTGTGAGTGTGCAATGTCCTCTCCTGGAGGACCAAATGGTATTTACCATAACAGTGCCATCGAGGTATCTTATGATTACGTAGACCTGAGCTTCAGAAGTACTAAGGAAACCGACCTGGTAAGTAATCCTGTCTACAGCCAAAGTTACCAAGCGAAATGGCAGGTTAACATTGGGAGGCAAATGGCTTTCAATTTTAAACTTGCGAACATTGTTTAATTAAAAAGACTAATCGAATCACTGAATTACAAATTTCAGAGATGAGGATGGGGCAAAATATTAAATATAACACACGATGATCGATTCAGTAGGCAGAATGGTCTAGAGCAAAATCATTTCCACTTGACGTATATTACTTACACAGTTTCTAAGCAGACTTAACTTCCTAAATATTAAGTCACCGCACACACCTGAGCAATACCAAATGATCACTAAAAGATAGAAGAGCAAGGTCATCAAAAGCTTGCCCAGACTCAAGGATGGCTTCATGGGTGAGACCTGCGCAGTCGCATAAGGTTTCATGCTTGATTTAACGTTCTGCTGTCACTGTCTTGACATTCGTAATTTTGGAACAAGGGACCTACACTGTGATTTCTTTGGAAGTTTTTTGCACCGGGTGGACCTGCGAATTTTGCAGCCGGTCCTGATGGGATACAAACCAGTGGGGACCAGGGGCTATTTGGGAGCAAACAGAAGCACATGCCTGTTCAGGAGACTTACTGGTAAGCCAGGAGGTCCTGGGTCCCCTCTGTCACCCTGCAGTAATAACGAACGACACACTGGTTTAGAAGAGCAACCTCATTTCCTAAAACACACGACATAAAAGTAGGAACACACGGGAATTATTTGAGCTGTCTAATGTACAGTCTGTTCAATTTTTCAGTGTCGAAAAGACAACCGTGGAAGGTTCTGTGGAGGCGATTTCCAGCCTCCATCTTTGGTGCAAATTCTGCTTCTACTCAGCTGAAACCAGAGAAAGAGGCTGCAGTCGTGAGCAGGTGAAATCAAGACACGATTTCACCTTTCAGTTTAAAATGTTCTAAATTCTCAATTCGACAGTCCTGTTTAATCACAGCTAAACTGCCTCTGGTCCAGTGGCCACACCCTGCCTCTGTTTGTAGACATCTTGCTCCTTTTATGACCCTGGGGTAGATGCGAAGGGAATTTGTATGGAAATTCTCTCCCATCTGCTTTTGTGCCAATCTATTGCTTTGTGACTCTGCCTCAAGACAACCTATTTTAAAGTATCAAAGGTTGTATGTTCTCTTGAATACAAGCTTTTTTTAAAAAATGTAAAATATAATATATTGCAAAACATATATCAAAGTTTGTATTTTAACGATTTTTAAGTGTACAGTTCCGTGGCACTAACTATATGCACACTATTGTGCAACCATCACCTCCAGAACCTTCCCATCCCCCACAAATGTGAACTCTGTACGCATTAAATACTAACTACCCATCCTCCTCCCCCAGCCCCTGGCAACCACCATTCCAGAAGCTTGCTGTCTCTATGAATCTGAGTACTCCAGGGACCACATATAAATGGAATCACACATTAGTCCTTTCATGACTAGCTTATTTCACTTAGCATAATAACTTCGGGGTTCATTCATGTTGTCAGAATTCCCTTCCTTTTTAAGACTGAATGACATTCCATCGTATGTATAAAACACTTCCTGTTTATCCACTCATCCATCAGTGGACAGTTGGGTTCCTTCCACCTTTTGGCTTTTGCAAATAATGCTGCCATGAACATAGGTGTACAAATATCTGTTTGAGTCCCTGCCTTCATTCCTTTTGGATATATACCCCAAAGTGGAATTGCTGGATTATAGGCTAATTCTACATTTAATTTTTTGAGGAATCACCATACCATCTTCCATAGCAGCTGAACCATATACATTCCCACCAGCAATGCCCAAGCATTCCAATTTCTCCACATAATTGTCAACATTTATTTTCTGGGTTTTTTTTTTTCAATAATAACCAACTGAATGTGTGTGAAGTGGATGTAGGCTCTCAAGACTGTTGTTTCTCTAAGATTATTAATCTTGTTTCTCTTAAGATGAGAAATTCTCTATATCCATTTCCTCTTTTATTCACCCATCCTCTCCTGCACAATTACAAAAAAAAACAACTCATCATAACTAGTATGTACAGTAGATTATAATTTATAATATGCTGTAATATAAATTAGAAAAGATCATGAATGCCAAGAGGAAGGCAGGGTACGTATCGTTTTAATTTTCTTTCAAAAATAACAAACACGAGGTTCAGAGAGCGTAAGGAGGTCACTGAAAGTCACAGTAGTAGGAAGGGTCAGTTCACTCCTTACAATACAGCATGCAGGTCCCTAGAATGACCTTGCTTTGATGCTGAGTTTATTAATATGTCATTTAAGTCATAAACAAAAGCATAGTTTTTGCTGTTTCACAAGTATGAATGGGCACAGAGGCCACAAACAAAAAGTGTGAGCTCACTAAAGGCATCACCACTCAGGTGTGTCCACTCCAGGTAGCATGGAACTCGGGGTCTAGTAGAAGAATCTAGAACTACTTTTATCTCATTGTTGTAGAATATTCTTCCTTAAAACGCATGACCACATCTTGAAAATGTCTACTGTCTCTCTTCTTGACTTTGCATAGCTAGTGATCTACTTTTGCTCATCCATGGCTACTGGCTACTCATATTAGAGAGATGAGGTCGTCATCCAAGAGTTTATTTCTGAATATTTGTATATCATTCTCTGCTAAAAACACAAGAGCATTTAATTTGCCAAGGACAGTGCGATAGGTTTCCATAATTTTCAAGTTCAATAATAGTGATTTCTATTATACTGGAATGCAAGTATTACTATTAAATTTTGACTACAAATAAATCAGTACTTCTCAACCGGGGGTAATTTTTCTTCCTGGGGGACATTTGGTAATGTTTGGAGATACTGTGTATGTGTTGGGGTGGGGGTGGGGCTGGGGGTGCTACTGGCATCTAATGGGCAGAGGCCAGAGATACTATTTAATGTCCTACAATGCACAGGTCAGCCCTCGCCCAAATAATTATCTGGCTCCAAATGTCAACAGTATCAAGGTTGAGAAACTCCAAAATAAATCTATCTGTTACAACTCTGCAAGAATAATTGGGAGGTAATGGAATTTTATAGCCAGAGTAACTAAAGCCACGTGCCTTCACACAGGAAGTATAGTGCCATCCCAGAGGGTGAGGGTAAAGATGAAAAACAAAAACAAAAACAAAAACAAAAAGCACTGTGCTCAGGGATGTTTCAAAAAATCTCAGTCTACATGTTTCCTGCGTGGCTTTACCTATGTGGCAAAAAAATTTTTTAAACCCACCGTGATCATGATGCTCACCTGGACACCTTTAACAGCACGGAAAATGAACACTGAATTTCCTTTTTCTCCATTTTCTCCAGGAAGGCCCTGAAAATAAAATATTCCGTTAAGAAAAGAAAAAAGCATATTGCTATTTCAATGTTTTCTTTTCTATGTAAAGTATTAACCATTAATAAATTACTATTTATAGTCATGTTTCACTAGAGGAGATTTCTTTATTCCTTTCATTATTATTATCATCCTAAGGTTCTCTTACATAGTCACTCAATATTCAGTTAAAATCTATTAATATATTAGTAGAGTATCTACTAATATATTTATGTTTATATACATAGAAACATATTATAAATATGTAATACATATCTATGTAGGTTATATGTAACATATACTAATATGTTACTAGTATCAATTATTTAGCAAGAAAATTGCGTTTTCCTTCAAAACATAATGCATGTTTTATTCATAAAACGTGTATCATTCTTAGAAGTAAATAATTTTGCAGTTGTCAGTTAATAATATGCTCTAGAAATAGTTTATCCATTTCAAGATTTGTATTTAAAAGAGAACTTATGCATCTTTAGAAGATTAACTTAAAAATTAGTATGTTTCTTTTGGAAGATTTTTGTATGTAGCTGCAACTTTACTTAGGGTACTTTTTTAAGTGAGTGAAATACCTCGACGTATTATTTTCTCCCAAAGTTCTCCTATTTAATATCTTAATATCCTACTTGATGTATTAATATATCTTAACTGGGTTACCACAGAAAAATTTTAACCATTTCCATATATCAAGTTCCTACAAAGGACATGCAAAAGAATACCTGACTTTGCTTCCAATGGGAGATACTAACAGTTTAATGATAAATTACATCAGCGGTTTCCTTGAGAAATCAGATTCGCCTACACAGGAAGGTCTTGCTTTGCACAGTTTCATGTGCATGGATTTCAGTTCCACAGTTAAGTAAAATAGCACCAGCCCTCTTACCCAAAGGTTCAACTTCAGTTACCACTGTACTAACTGAGTAATTGCACAAAATAAAAATGTCACTGTTAGCTCATGGGTCCTCCAATCACTCATCAGTGACAGATGCAACTCATGACCACTAGCTGATTACATCGTTGTTTACAAAGGCCGTCTGTGACTGGTCACTGCATATCTCCCAGCACACACACACACACACACACACACACACACACACACACACAGCAAAGTGTGTTGCTGTGTTGTCCCTTTATTTCAGAGTGATCAATCCAAATGACATTTCATAAGAAGAAATCATTGAAAGAGGAAATTGACCAACGAAGATCAAAATGAAGTGAGGACATGAAAAATAACACTTGAAGTGAAAATCGAGCAGAATGCAAAGGGAGCTATAGAAGAAATAACTGATTCGTGGAAATGTCGACACCTCTGTCGACACCTCTGTCATGCGAGCCAGAGGGACTTCGTGAAGACTAACTTACCCACCTTAGGAAAGGAGAGTGGTCGTGACAAAAAGGACGCAGATGTGTCAGAGGGAGTGACACAGGCAAAAGAATTTCATGTTCAGGGAGTTCTTAGAAATATTTCAGAATACAGGAAGCTCATCTGAACTTAGAAAAAGTACGACAATTCACCAAAGCACAGAAAACACATTCACTTCATGTTATAAGTTACATGAGGAGAAGAAGGCAAGCCTTGCTCACACTACTCTTGATAAGTTTTTACAAGGAAAATGAAACACTCTAATTCTCGATGTGTATAATGTGTTAAATTACAATGTACCAAATAAATACGCGTTTATAAAAAGAATCCCCTACGTATTCATAGCTAACAATAAGAGAGTTTTCAACATTTAATAAAATATTTTAAAGGACACGGGACAACAGTGATTTCTCCCATCGTTTTTTAAGCTTGCTTGGTGTGGTTCCAGCTTGAGTGGTCCTTCTGAAGGTCCCCCACTACTATGCAAAGGGGGGTCTGCCTATACATGAAATGAGTCAAAGGAAAGAAAGCTGCCTTGCAGAGACCATGATGACGAACTTCAGTACCGTGGTCAGCACTGCACGCTGTGGTAAATCTACAGCGGGGAACCTTTGCCCTCTTAAACATTCATAGACACTCAGTAGAATGAGGTTTGACCCCATTGGGAGATCTTAAGAAATGTGCACTGACCAGGCTGCACTTGGCCCTTCCCATGGCTGAGTTTTGAAAACAAAGGGTGATTGAGGAGCTCACTAACAAAAGCTGGTTGTTTTTCCTAGTTGATGCCACGAGAAACATGTGAGTATGAACATCCTTTTTTAGTTCTATGTTCAGATCAGCTCCACTAGGATGTGGAGCAAAAGGAAAACTCAGAAGAAATCAGGATGACTCTGGCGGTGATGACAAGAAAATCTTTTAGAAGGAATCTTGGGGAATGATATTCAATTAGGCAAGTAGAAAGACTTTTCTGAAAAATAGTCACAGCAAATCAGTTTTGAAAAGCCAAATCATCTCCAATCTTTATTTAAGTGTGAAAAAGAAAAAGAGAAAGGAATATAAGACGTAGAGGAAAGGGTATTTCTTGCTTTTAAATAAAAGTCGAAATTTTTGAAGAAAAAAAACCCCTAAGAGCAGTAAAGTCTTCTCAAGTGCTGGATATTGCCAACTGTTTCTGGGCATCCATTCCAAACCCTTCTATTTATCTTATTGCATTATGGGGATTAGAAAGTTAAAAAACTACATTTCCCAGACCTCTTTGCAGCTGGATGTGAATTAGGCTCCACCTGGGAGAGGTACTTATGAGATGTGGAGGGCAGAAGTGAAGAAGGCATCCTCTTTCTGGTACTGTGGGTGCTGCCAAGCAGAAAGGCAGAAAACTGAGCGTTTGCTGGTGTCTCGACATGGGGGTGAGAGGCTGAGGTTGTGTTGAGGGGGCAGATTCTGGACTTCTGGATTGCAGCTAAGTGTGAACCTTAGAAATCAGTAGTCCCATGGTGGCCCCGAGTCCCACTCCTCCGGCCATTAAAATAAGAGCTCCATTCTCTGTATTAAATTCCTTTCAAGAGGGGTTTACATGTCTGCAGTGAACCCTGAATGATAAACAACATAAGCTCTGCTAACTGGCCTCCCTGCTCCCTTCCCCCACTATTCATTCTCAATACAGCAGCCCAGAGCATCTTAGTGGAACCTCAATCAAGTCATATAACTTCCTTCCTTAATACCATCCAAAGCTTTCCCATTGCACAGAAAAGAAAATCCAGCCCCCTTCCACAGTCCATGAGATCCCAAAGCGTTCTAGGCCCCGCCCGCCTCTCGGTCTCCATCCTCCAGGTAGGCTCGTTTGTTCGGCACATTCCCAGCACACTTGTATTAACCCTGTTTCTTGAATACATTGAGCCTGTTCCCACGATAGGGTGTTTTCTTTTAAGATTCCCATTCAGGTGAGCTCTGGGCATCTTACTGGGGGGCCGCCCAGGCCAGGGGCTCCTCTTTCTCCTGGAAACCCCGGATCACCTCTCGAGCCATTGTAGCCATTCACGCCAGGCTTGCCTCTGGGTCCAGGGGGCCCTGGGTGCCCCTGTGGGAAACAAAATTAGAGGTGAAGCATTTTTGCAAGAATATTATCACACAAAGGTTATGCGACATGGGTACTCAAATTCTGGCAATTGTTGTTTGACTTTGTGAAACTTCCTTCCCCATCCACAAGTGTTATGTAGCATAGTAAAAATAAATTTTAATAGGCCTCAATTTAAATTCATTTAGTTTGGAGGATTTGGAGAGATTTGGGAGGAAGCCTTCCTTGAAATCATTAGAAAAGACTGTAATGAACTATAAAGCCCCCCAAATATCTCTTCTTCTGTCATGAAAAAATTAGGACTCAACGGCAAATAAAAACTTGCATTATGAGTATACGTATATTTCCAGAATATTGTACTTGACAAGTCTACATAGTTTGTATTTCAGAATGTTTTTCTCTGATTTATGTGAAAACATTGCTATTCCAATAAAATGTTTTGATCTCTCTCGGGGTCATTCCACGAAATCGAAATGCAAGCACCCCTTCATGCACTGAAATGAGAACATGAAGAGAGTCTGCCATATGCAAATTTTTTTGAACATGTGATTTTTAAGGGTTTCGATGAGGGTTTCTCCCTTCTCTAAAAAATAGAGAAAATTTAGGGGTACTTACAGGTATGCCATCCAAACCTGGAAATCCAGGAACACCAGTTGGACCCTAAAATTCCAGAAAATAAACCAAGTTATAAAAGTTACTAAATTATTAGGTTAACAAGTTGATTTACTAGAAAGCATAAATAATTAATAACTCATTAAAAAAATACTCAGTAGTCGTCACCTATTTTTACATTACTGAGCTTAAATGTTAACTTTTAAGAATCGATCTTTTATACTTTTTTCTGTCCTAAGGAAGCCAACATGGCAGTAGCAATTCAAAGAATACAGTCAGTACTCTGTCAGCTAGAAAATCAGCTTATCAGAATCCAGCTATCCTAGAGAAACAAACTCCGAACTGCGCACACAAGTAATTTATAGGATTTTGTAAATTTCGCACACTTACAATCTCAAATTCTCATCAACAGAGAATAAACTATAGTTTCATCCAAACTACAGCATGTTACGCAGTATTTTTAATGGAATAAGTTCAAGCTACATAAATTGATATGGACTGATCTCTAAGCCACGTGGTTGAGTGGAAAAAAAAAAAAGACTCAGCATGATACATATAATACCACTGAAGTTTTTGAAAAAGCCATGAGATAATCCAACTCCCCACTGAGCCCAGTATGTATTTCAGTGCATCGAAAAGGTTAAGAAGGCGTGCGTCTCTGGAACGGGGTTAGGGAAGGAAGGCTGATTATAGAGGAGGAGTTTAGACTAAATTTATTATAAGGTGAAAGTAGGTACTACTCATGATTATGAAACTCTGGCACAGTAGTGCTGGTAAGTGGTTAACAAGGATCTTTCACGTAAGAAGTGGCTTACCTTATCTCCTTTGTCACCTGCTGCTCCAGGAGGGCCACTGTCACCTCTCATTCCTTTCTCTCCTGCGAGCCCAATGGGTCCTGGTGGTCCCAGGGGTCCAATGGGACCCTGTGGCCCTGGCGGTCCCGGTTGACCCTAAGAAGGAAGATTAAAAAGGAAGGCGGGCTGACTCGTAAGTAGTGTCTTCTAAGACAAAAACATCGTCCCTTGGACTTACGGAAGACCAGCAAATTAGATTGGGCAAACTCGAATATGGAAATACAAAGGATCAATTAATTACGAAATAAGAAACAGCAACATTGCCTTTTTCGATCTGAAATCCAGCTGTGTGATAAATCTGATTTACCACATGCAGACACACACATATCTATAAACTGATAATAGTTTTCTTACTATTTTCATTCTGTCAGTCAATGATATGTATAAAGCTTGAGGGAAAACTGCCAGATCTTTTATTTACTTCAAATGACTGACGATTTGTCTGTCCTACTAGGGGGAAACATTTCTTATGGAGCTGCTTGTACTTAATTTCTGATGCATAAATTGGAAGTAAGCTCTCCATCTCATCTTTACGCCATCCGATTTTCCATGAATGAAAAGGTCACCTCTTATTTTAGGTGTAGAAGTTGCAAGAGCCCAGTCCTCCCCCTGAACCCACAGGAGGAACATTTTAGGCACAAAGAAGAAGAATTTCCCTGCTCTGCATTAAGTTGGATGAGTCCACCAAATTACTGTTCAGTTATTGCCCACGAGAAGCAGCTGCAAATCTCACAGCAATTTCTGTTCTGGAGGAAATAAGTCCAGCCTCCCAGGAACACGCCCCCTTGAGCCCCACTCCCTTCCCCGTCATCATAATAGCTGCTATCTACCGAGAAGCCATAAAAATACTAAAGGCTTAGAACGTTCGAGGAAGTTTAAATGCATAAATATGTGCTACAAAAAATACAACAATAAAATATAGAATATAATTACTTGGGCGCAAACCCTTTGGGGCATATCGAAGGCATATCAATTTACTCCAGAAACTGCACAAATTATGAACAACAGTCTGAGAGCAAGAATAAATAATGACTTCAGCTGGCCTTTCCTACCTATGTTAATTAATCTTCCTTGGTTACTTAATTAACATAAGTTAAAAGTTCTTATTTTCCTAAACATAAGGCTCAGGAAATAACTGCTTTATCATTAAGTCTGAGATTTATCTTTCTGTCTTACATGTAATTTATACAAAAACTCCTAAGTTACCTTTCGTGAATGCTGTACTTTACAATAATGAATTATTTAAAAACAACAAAATGCCTGTTTGAACATAAACGAGTAACTGAGAAAGAGACAGCCAATTAACGGCCTATAAATCTCGACAGTGTGTTTCATTTTAGATGCACAATGCCCAATCCCATGAGTTAATGGAACTTTGGAGAACAAAAAGAAAAAAGAGTGGAGATGGTGAAGACAGCTAAGAAGGATAGAGCTCCATTCAGAAAAACGTCCCGATCTGAGAAAGTGCCATCGAAAACACTCTCAAAAATAAAACAAGAAATGCTTGTTTGCATGATGAAATTCTTCATCCCCATCACCTCCCTCTCCCCCTGCTTCTGCTCTGTCACAATGATTTCCTGGTCATTCCTTCACAGACGTTGGTGTCCTGTCCCAGAGGCGTCCCCCTAAGTCACCTCTCAATCCCCCAGCCCCCACCTGCAGCCCTCTCCAGACACGACACACCAACACACCGTCAGAATCAGATGCCTCCCCTCTGCCTCCAGAAGTACCCTCCTCACCCGTCGCCGCCGTCTCTTTATCCTCCCAGCCCCTCACCCACCAGCCCAGGAGCTCCAGGAGGGCGGAGTCTCCGTGCCCAAGACTGAGATCGCGAGAAAAGCAGAGAACAAATCAAACAAAACAACTGGGTCAACCCCGCAGCCACCCACCCCAAGGGAAGACTGACTGAAGAAAGAGAAACGCTGTCTCCTGTTTCTGAACTATCAGCCTCGGAACTTTAGCCCACACTGGTCCCAGTGGAATCTGCGATGGTTCCACAGGGACCCGCCATCAGCAGTGGCCCTGAGGCAGAGATGTTGGTGCACTTTTATTGCTGAGATAGAACGCAGGCCTGGTGACCTCTTCATTTCGACCATATTGAAAGGCAAATGCAAGCCTAACTTTGCAAGTGGAAAAACTAACATAAGACACTACATGCTTACACTTTCATGCCCCAGGAAGACTTTGTCGTTTGTTTATATTTAGTGCTGTTTTTTTCATATTAACGGATATTTTATTATAGAATAAAATTTTAAAAGAAATACGCTAAACCTTGTATAACAGTATTAAACCTGTCAGAAAGCCTCCAATGAAATTTTCCCAAATACCAGTCTTTGAAATAGTCATAGCTAGTTAGTCCACCCAATCTGAGTAAACTTTATCCACAGCAATACAGAGAATGATTCCATTTCACACAAAAGAAGGGGTCAGCAAAAAACAAACAAACAAATAAACCAAAAAACCTGTTTATAAGTAGATGTTTGAGCTTCCTTGATTATTGGGCTGTAACAGAATTAACTTCTGGATGAACAGGCTTAAATAACAGGCCCCTGATAAGACATTTCTATAACAAGAGAATCATTAAATAATCACAGGAATTTTTCATCTTTCTAAAAATATATTTTTTTTAAAGAAACACACAGCCACCTGCTGTACTGCATTCAATCTAGCAAAAAGAAATCGTCCACTGGAATGACTGGCTTCAGCCATGGTAGTCCCAACTTTTTTTTGCTACTGCATGCGCAGAATTGCCTCTGTAGTTTGTGACTTTCAGGGAGAGACACTGAAGTCAGAAAACAGATTCATTGAATCCGGGAATGACAATTGGCCTGACAGCTGAGAAAATTTTGGTATGCCACATGAAGCCACCGGGTCATCTTTCGTTTTACTCAAAGGCCAAGCTGACATTGTGTCGTTAGACTCGGTATAGGCGCCTCTGCGCTGTGGCTACAGCAGCGTTGGCTCTGGGGCCAGCTGCACAAATAAAGGATGAAGGCCATCAGAGCGGACAGAGTCACATGTCTGCCCGCCTCTCTGAGGCCAGAGCATTCCTTTAGGATTTTGTCTCTTGTTAATCATCTGTGTCAGGCATGTCTCTTGAGCAGGGTTAAGATCAAACGATTTTAATTTCACAGCGGCTGGGGAGAAGAGACCAACAGATAAGAGAATATGTCCATTTTCGAAACTAAAATCTTCAAGTCAGACTTTTGGGTGAACACTGATCTGCTTGTCCCAGGGGACCACACGCTGTTCCCAAACAAAGCTGAGGCTTAGAGAGATGAAGCAAGTGACCTCGGGCCACCTGGCAATCGCCTAGGGGAGCAGAGATCCGAACCCAGCTTCCCTTTTACCCCGGAGCTTGTCAACCTCACTCTCCTACAAACTCTTGTATCCACCTTAAAACATTCCCATAAACTCATCACCTGTTTTTCATTACTGTTTGGTGAATGCGACTCTAATATCTGCTTGGGGTAATGTCTTCCAGTAAGCTTCTTGAGGTCAAGGATCCATGTACGATCGCCAGCCCAGTACCTTGGCCACTGCCTAGCACAGTATAAATCCTAAACATATATTCATGGAATGCTGAGTTTTGTAATTAAAACGAACAAAGAAGCAGTCGGCTGCCTTTTTAATGTTTAGTTGTAATTCAGCCTTTAAGCCACTAGATGACACTATAACACCACTTAAACTCCCTCACGGGTCTCACTGTGCCGCATAAATCCTTTAGCTGCTGCTCCAGGGTCCTCCCCTGCCACAGGGGAAATGCTGCAGTTCACAAAGGGTTGCAAAAATAACAAAAAGGTGTTATTCAAAGATTAGACAGTGCAGGGAAACTGAACTGTGGTGGCAGAGGTTTTTCTTGTGCCATAAATTCTCTTGCTTACTAATAAGGGAATAAATTGGTCAATTTAGCCTGGAGTGACACTGACTCAGGATTTTTAGCTGCTTCCTTAGGAGGCAGCATTAAGGGTCTTGGCAGATTCCCTGAGGAGCTATAATACAGCGACTCTCCTTCCTTCCTCCTCACTCTGTTCCCTGGGGTCCCTGGCCCCGTCCTCTCTGTGTCCTTCTCCGACCTGTGTCTTCTGTGCTGCCCCCTTCCTTCCGGTGGTGGGGTTCCCCCTGCAGCTCTGTAGGGCTGCCTTGGCCTTTCCTACCTCCTCACTTTCTCAGAGCACCTCCTCTGAGCCCCGGCCACATATCCAACTGACCTCAAGTTCTACGAATCCTGAACTGGACTCGTGGATTCGTGATCGTCCCCCGAGATGTGCTCCTCAGCCATCCACCTCAGCTGTGCACGCAGCTGCTCACGCCTGGCCAGAGTCCTCCCTGGCACCTCTAACGGCCTCCCTGCACCGTCCCACACCAAGTCTCCTCCTCGCACCTGTCAATTCTGCCTCCCAGCCATTC